CCAAACTTACAAAAGAAAAATAGGAGAGGATGCAAATAACCCTAATAAGAAATGAAATAGGGGAACATTACAACTGACCCACTGAAATAAAAAGGATCATAACAGAGTACTATGAAAAACTATACTCCAACATATTTGAAAACCTAGAGAAAATGGACAAACATCTAGAAACACACTGTCTAACTAAACTAACATAAACTGAGGTCAGAAATCTGAACAGACCCATAACAGAGAAGAGATTGAAAAGGTAATTAAAAAAAAAAAAAACTCCAGAAAAAAGCCCTGGCCAAGATGGCTTCACTGGATAATTCTACCAAACATTTAGAGAAGAGTTTGCACCAGTACTACTCAAACTATTTCAGAACATAGAAAAGGAAGGGATACTTACGAATTCAATCTATGAAGCCAGAAGAACCCTGATACCAAAACCAGGCAAAGACACTACAAAAAAAGAAAATTACAAACCAGTATCCCTCATGCATCTAGATGCAAAAATTCTAGTCAACAGATTTCAGCATCATATCAAAAAAATAATACACCCCGACCAAGTGGGATTCATACCAGGTATGCAAGGAAGGTTCAACATTAGAAAATCAATCAACATAATCCACCACATAAATAAAACAAAAGAATCACACGATCATTTCAATTGACGCCGAAAAGGCATTTGACAAAGCCCAACACCCATTCCTGATAAAATCTCTCAATAAAATAGTTATAGAAGGGAAATTCCTCAGCATAATAAAGGGCATCTATACAAATCCAGCAGCTGACATCATTCTTAATGGAGAGAGACAAAATATTCCTCTTGAGAACAGAACAAGACAAGGATGCCCTTTATCACCGCTCCTATTTAACATTGTGCTGGAAGTCCTAACTAGAGCAGTACGGCAAGAAAAAGAAATAAAGGGCATCCAAATTGGTAAGGAAGAAGTAAAACTATCCCTATTTGTGAATGATATGATACTATACATCAAGAACCCAAAAGACTCCACAATAAAACTACTAGAACTAACAGAAAGATTCAACAGAGTAGCAGGATACAAGTTAAACAGACAAAAATCAGTTGAATTCCTATACACCAATAAAGAGAACTATGAAAAGGAAATCAGGAAAACAATACTATTTATATAACCCCTAAAAAAATAAAATACTTAGGAATAAATGTAACCAGGGACGTAAAAGACCCATACAAAAAAAACTACAAACCACTACTGCAAGAAACCAAATGAGACCTACATAAATGGAAAAACATACCATGCTTATGGATAGGTAGACTCAACATTGTGAAAATGTCAATTCTAATCAAAGCAATCTACAAATACAATGCAATCCCAATCCAAATACCAACAGCATTCTTTAATGAGATGTAAAAACTAATCATTAACCTTATATGGAAAGGAAAGAGACCCAGATAAGTAAAGCACTATTGAAGAAAAAAAAATAATAAAGCAGGAGGACTTGCACTACCTAACCTCAGAACCTACTATACAGCTACGGTAGTCAAAACACCTGGTACTGGTACAACAACAGACATATTGACCAATGGAACAGAATATAGAAACCAGATGTAAATCCATCCACCTGTGATCACATGATCTTTGACAAAGGTCCAGAGTCCATTAAATGGGGAAGAGACACTTTTTAACAAATGGTGCTGGCAAAACTGGATGTCCATCTGTAAAAAAATGAAACAGGATCCATACCTCACACCATACACAAAAACTAATTCAAAATGGATCAAAGACCTAAATATAAAACCAAAAACTATAAAGAGCACAGAAAAAAAAATAAGATCAACACTAGAGGCCCTAACACATGGCATAAACAGCATACAAACCATAACTAACAATACATAAACAACAGAAGATAAGCTAGATAACTAGGATCTTCTAAAAATTAAACACTTACGCTCATCAAAAGACTTCACCAAAAGAGTAAAAAGAGAACCTACAGACTGGGGAAAAATTTTTGGCTATGACAAATCTGACAAAGGTCTAATCTCTAAAATCTATGGGAAAATCCAACACCTCTACAACAAAAAGATAAATAATCCAATTAAGAAACGAGCAAAGGATATGAACAGACACTTCACCAAAGAAGACATTCAGGCGGCTAACAGACACATGAAGAAATGTTCGTGATCACTAGCCATTAGAGAAATGCAAATCAAAACTACAATGAGATACCATCTCACCCCTACATTATTGGCATGAATCAAAAAAAAAAAACAGAAAATAACAAATGTTGGAGAGGCTGAGGGGAGATTGGAACTCTTATGCACTGTTGCTGGGAATGCAAGATGGTACAACCATTTTGGAAAATGATATGGTGCTTCCTTGAAAAGCTAGAAATAGAAATACCATACGATCCAGTGATCCCACTCCTAGGAATATATCCTAGAGAAAATAAGAGCTGTCACATGAATAGACATATGCACACCCATGTTCACTGAAGCATTATTCATAATAGCAAAAAGATGGAAACAACCTAAGTGCCCATCAACAGATGAATAGATAAACTATGGTACATACACAAAATGGAATACTACGCAACAATAAAGAACAATGATGAGTCTTCGACACATCTCACGACATGGAGGACATTATGCTGAGTAAAATACGTCAATCACAAAAGTGCAAATAGTGTATGAGACCACTATTATAAAAACTCATAAAAAGATTTACACACAGAAAAAAACAATCTTTGATGGTTACGAGGGAGGGGAGGGAAAACCACTAGACAATAGATAAGTAGTAACTTTGGTCAAAGGTAAGACAGTTCACAATACTGGGGAAATCAGCACAACTTGACCAAGACAAGGTCAGGGAAGCTTCAAAGACACATCCAAAGTCTCAGAGGGACTGAATTACTGGGCTGAGGGCGGGGGACCATGGTTTCAGGGGACATCTAGCTCAATTCACATAAGGTAGTTTATAAAGAAAATGTTCTACATCCTACTTTGATGAGTAGCATCTTGGGTCTTAAAAGCTTGTGAGCAGCCATCTAAGACACTCCACTGGTCTCACCCCGTCTGGAGCAAGGGAGATTAAAGAAAACAAAAAACATAAGGGAAAGATTAGTCCATAGGACTAATGGACCACAAGTACCACAGCCTCCACCAGACTGAGACCAACATAACTAGATGGTGCCCAGCTACCACTACTGACTGCTCTGACAGGGATCACAATAGAAGGTCCCAGACAGAGCTGGAGAAAAATGTAGAACAAAATTCTAACTCAAAAAAAGACCAGACTTAGTGGCCTGACAGAGACTGGAGAAACCCTGAGAGTACGGCCCCCGGACACCCTTTTAGCTCAGTGATGAAGTCATTCCTGAGGTTCACCCTTCAGCCAAAGATTAGACAGTCCCATAAAATAAAACAAGACTAAATGGGCACACCAGCCCAGTGGCAAGGACAAGAAGGCAGGAAGGGACAGCAAAGCTAGTGATGGGGAACCCAAGGTTGAGAAGGGGAGAGTGTTGACATGTCGTGGGGTTAACCAATGTCACAAAACAATGTGTGTATTAATTGTTTAATGAGAAACTAATTTGCTCTGTAAAGTTTCATCTAAACCCCAATTTAAAAAAAACAAACAACAACAAAAAACCTCCAATGGCTTCCCATCTCACTCAGAATAAAAAATCAAGGCTCTTACTCCAGCTACAAAGGTTCAACGTAATTGATCTCCTACTACCTCTCTCACCTCCTCTCCAACCACTCTCCCCTGCTCCCAGTGCTGAAGCCATACCGTCGTCCTTGTTCCTCATACCTTCCCCAGGGCCTTTGAAGGTGCTACCCTTCTCCTTGGGTCACTCTTTCCCCAGAGACTGTACAGCTCCCTCCCTCACTTCCTTCAGTCTCTGCTCAAATGGCACCTCTTCCAGGAAGACTTCTCTGGCACTGTCTAAAATAAGTCCCCGTCATCTTTTAATCCCTTCCCCTGCCTTATTTTATCACCACCTGACATATAGATTTACACTTATTATCTGTCTCCCCCACTAGAAATATAAGCTACATGACAGCAAGGACTTCTGTTTCATTCACCACTGCATTCCAGGGCCTAGAACAGTGCCTGGGTATATAGTAAACCAAAACTAAACCCATTGCCATTGAATAGATTGACTCATGGTGACCCCATGTGTTACAAAGTAGATGCTCCATAGGGTTTTTTTGGCTGCATTCTTTACAGAAGCAGATCTCTAGGCCTTTCTTCTGCAGCGCTGCTGGGTGGGTTTGGACCACTGACCTTTAGGCTAGTAAAGTGCAAACGATTTGTACCACCCAAAGAGGGCACACAGTAGTACTCAATAAATGTTTGTTGAGTGACTAAAGTAGATCAATTGTGATGATCTGTAACAGAGGCTGCACATACCTAGTGCCCTGGAGCCATGGATTTTTCCTACGGAATAGGATGGAGGGGACCAGGCTGGAGGCAGAGGGCCAGGTGGAGGCTGTTACAATGGTCCAGTTAAGTAAAAAGGATGGTAAGAAATGTAATACAATCGCATGGAACTGTACACACATATTATACCAATGTCAATTTCCTGGATTTGATATTATGGTATAGTTATGTAAGATGCAGTCATGGGGAAAATGGGAGAAGGGTCATGGTACCTCTCTGTACTATCTTTGCAACTTCCTGTGAATCTAATTATTTCAAAATAAAGTTTTTACAAAGGTGGGGCAGAAGGTATAGAGAGGAAGTAGAATCACTGACTTAATGACTAGGACTTGGTAACTTAGCTAGACACAAGGGGTCAGGGAATGATTCCCAGGTTTTGGTCTTAGGTGACAGGATGGATAGGAGGGTATTAACTGAATGGTGGGGGAAGCAAGCCAGTTTTAAGCATGAGTTGGAAGGTGCCCCTGAATACAGATGTATAGCAGACATTTGGATAAAATCATTTAAAGCTCAAAGCTAGAAATAAAGATTGGCGGGGGTGGGCGGGAGATGTCCTCAGCCAATCTTAAGACCATACACACAGCCCCTTATTACCTGGACTGCCAGGGGGTAATAACACCATCATCAGGGCCCCCGATCAGCACCAGGTGACCTACACGGAGAAAGTTCTTCCTCCATGCTGCAGGGTGGCAAGAAGAGAGAGTGGGTCAGCCACAGGGGTCAGGCCAGGTTGAGGAGGGGGATACAGGAGATCAAAGAAGCAGAAAAGGGGACCCAGGTAGGGGTCTGGGGTCTCACCAGTGGCATTGGGATGGTCTCTTTCCCCATTGATCAGGGCCAGGAAGCTGCTGGCGTTGAGGTACAAGTCATCATGGTGAGGGTCTGGGTACAAAGAGCAGTTAGAAAGACAGTCAAAGAAGACCCGAGGCTGAAAAACCAATCAGGAGGTTGCCATAATAGTCAAGGTGCACAGTTATGTAACAGTAGTAATAATAATAGTAGTAAAAATGATAGCAAACACTTTTATCTAGTGCCTAATATGTGCCAAGTACAGTACAAAGTACAGTACATTCGTTATTTAATCCTCACAACCACCCTGTGAGGTAAGTGCTATATTATTATTTTACAGATGAGGAAAACTGAGTCACAGAGACATAAAGTAACTTGCTAAAAATCATCCAGCAGGGTCAGGATTCAAATCCAAGTAGTCTAGCCCCGGCATCAAGGATCTTAAACATTACACTGGGGGTTAGCAAACTATGAACCATAAGACAAATCCAGCCTGTCGCTTGTTTTTGTAAATAAAGTTTTATTGGAACGGTCATGCTCATTCATTTATATATTGTCTAAGGCTGCTTTCACACTATAACAGCAGAGTTAGGTACTTGTGAAAGAGACCGTGTGGCCTGCAAAGCCAAAAATATTTACTATCTGACCCTTTATAGAAAAGGTTTGCTGACCTTTGTACTAGACTATACTCTCTGAGACAATAAGGTAATACACATAAAACATTTTGAACAGCGCCTGGCACATAGTATGTGCTCAATAAATGTAAGTTCTCATCGTTGTCATTGTTGCTATTGGTTATGGTAGAGGTAGGAGCAGCAGGCCCTACCCTCCGTGTGCCCTCTCCCATGGAGACCCCAGCTTGACACCTCCACTCACCGTGCCAGTAGTTGCAAATGGAAAATTCCTGGCCCCAGGGGCTATAGCAGATCCGGTAAAGGTTAGATCGCATGGAGGTAGGGAACAGCCACTTCAAATAGTCTGTGTCTGGCAAGAGAACAGCAGTGTTAAGTGTCTCCAAACCTCTGTGCCCCCAAACTTGCAGCCCTCTGTGAAGCCCACAGTGCCCACGCACCTCCATACTGTCCCATCTGTGGAGAGGAGAGGGAGATGAAAGAATCCACATTGTGATCATCCATGACAGAGAGCAGTGCCCGGCACACAAGGCCCCCTGTAGGCAGAATACCACAGTGGGCAGGGACTTAGGGACAGCCAGGCCTACAGCCCCCACCTTCCCCCCACCACACTATTACACAAAGGAGGCTGAGGCTCAGAGAAGGCAGGCACACACTATGCCAAAGGGCATGTAAGTGGCAAGGCCAGAATTAGATTCTGGGCCGTCTGACTCTCTAACTCCCTAGTGCACTTCACTGCTCAGTTATCCCTAAAGTCAAAGGGTGTCAAGAACCCTAGGAAATAGGGAAAGAAGTAGGCAGCAGCTCAGGGAGCCTCCTTCCCATTCAGGAGACAGAGACAAGACCCAGGTATGAGGGACATCAGAAAAGAAGGGCTCAGGAGTCAGGGCTCTGGCTGCAGCAGGGTGGTTCAGAGAAAGGAACACTAGGAGGTGTCCCTCAGATGGGGATCAAGACTTAGATAGGGTTCAGGAGTCGGGGGTGGGTGGATGGGGGTGCCCCTACCCTGTGAGTAGCAGATGAGATGTACTCCTTCAGGGGCCTTCGCCATGATGGGGGCCACGGCCTCCCGGAACCCTTGCACCTGTTCCCACAGGGGCCGCAAGCTCTCTCTCCCATCGAAGAGATCAAGCACTGTTACCACAGTCCCGGGGTGTGTCTGTGGAAAGGGGGCAATGCAGCCACCGACTATGAAGACCCTCCCACATTGGCCCCTGGCTAGAGGCCACATGCCTGTGCCCTGCTGGAACCAGGGATCCTGTCCCCTAGCTCTCGCTACTCCAGCACCAGCTCCCCGAGGAACTGGGCAGGACCAGAAAGGCGGCTTTCAGTTCTCCCCTCTGCCTCCCCAGTCATTTTACACGCCTCCAACCACCCTCCACTGGGACGTCCCTTGCCAGACCTGGTTGATGTATTCCAGCAGGTGGCGGAAGCTGTACGAGCTGTCAAAGAGCCCGTGCACAACTATGACCGGCTTGTAGGTGGCGCGGTGGGGCGACGGGGTCGCGGGCAGTAGCAGAAGTGGCAGGAGGGGCAACAGGAACAGGACCCCCGCCGGGGGAAGCCGCGGCCACAGGAGCCCCAGCATGCTCCCGCCTGAGAAGGGGATGATGAGAAGGCCTGTGAGGGAAATGACAATACCTCCTCCCTTTGGAACAGACGCCCGGCAACCAAGCCACCTCCGTTCCCACCAGGACCTTGTCACAGAATAACCTACTATTAACTTACTCGGGTCCTCCCCTCCCTCCCCCTCACACAAACCCCCCCTACTACGTAGACGCACCAAAGCACTCCCGAAGCTCCGCCTCCAACTCGGCGCTCGGGGGTTCTGTCCCTAGGCCCGGGATCTTCCTAATGCATCACGCACGACTCGGGGTTTTGCAAGACCCCTGAGTAGCAGCCCAGGCCCCCTGGAGAGTGCAAACTCCCACCTGGCCTGAGTCCGCGAGCCTCGGTCGGCCCGCTGTTTACTTCTCCCGAGTCTAGCACCCAAGGGGGAGGGGAAGCGTGTACGGAGGGAACGCGCACAGGAATGACGGATGGAAGTGGGGGAGGCTGCTCGGGGTCGCGCACAGCCGTCACGTCCGGGGCTTTCCCTAGCAACCGTGCAGGCGTCCCTAGCAACGCAGGCCCGGGACCGGAGGGGCAATGGGACGTTCTATTGAGCCTAAGGGGCGGAGGAGGAAATAGGTGGAGCGATCCATTTAGGTCAGTGGGGAGAGGAGGAAGCAGCAAGCCTATCCTTGGGGGGAGGCAGCCTCTCCAGGTGCCGCTGCACCCAGCCACCCAACGGTTCGATGTCCCTGCCCTGATTCTCCCCTATTTCCCAATCCAGCCGTCCGATTCCGCAGCGGAACGCGAAGTTTTCCTTCTCGGGAAGAGGGGGCGGGGGGAGGGAGAATGGACTTGGAAAAGGTGTCTGCATTTTCTTCTACACCGGGTGAGTGGCCGGATGGCCTGAACGGCTGAAGCCAGCCCGGGCGGACCCATGTCCCCCACCTGACTGCCCTACCGCCCGGCAGCCCCAGGTCACCGTCTTACAACTCTTTATTCTGGAGTGCATGTAGGGCCCTTGTCTACAAAAACGCGAAGTGTCCTCGAGGCCCCTTGAGCTAAGTGCGACTTGGCCCAGTTTCTCCTGCCCTACTCTACTCCCTTCCCCATATACACCCCACCCTCGAGGGGCACAGGGCCCCTGGGGCCATACTGACCTGCGCCCGCGTGGTTTCAACCACTCTTTCAACCCAAGCGACCCTCAAAGTCCCGGTCTTCAGAACTCTCTGTGGGCGGCACCCAGTCCAGACTTCTGGGCTCTAAGTGTCCCCCACCTCTCCGCCTGTCTGTGACTCCGCTACCCGACACCTAGGCGCCTGGGTTAGGACTTTTACTTAGCTTTTAAAGACGTTTCCCTTGAGAAAAGGAAAATGTCTCTAAATGCTAAATGCGCCCACCACACTTCCCCCATTCAACCTCTCCGCCAGTCGGGGCGGGGGAAGTAGATGATTTCGCAACTTGTCTGAGCTCCTCCCTCTGTTCACAACGTCTCTGCTGTGTCTAAACTCGCCTCTCCCAGTAAAACCAATTTTCGCTGAGTTGTGCAGAGTGGGGATGGGGTGGGGGTAGGGAATAAGGGTTCACGCGAACGTCTGAGGAACCAGAACGACCCGTAAGGGGCTATGCTTTAAATGTCGGGCCTGAGATTGGCCCATGCCAGGGCCTCGGTACAGCTCTGTAGTCTCCGCTTGGACCTTGTCCGAAAGGGACGTAGACCCGGAGAGCGACTGCCTCAGGCGCGGTCTGGGAAGTACTAATCTAAATTGGGGGGGGGGGGGGAAGAATGATTCTCTAGCTGTGTTTTCGCAAAAAGCCCAACCTGTGTACGTCTCGGTAGACGATCCAAGCACTCCCAAGATGTAATAAGCAAATAAAAAGACTGCAATAACGCTGCGCCCCAGGTCTACTCAGGAGGTGGTGCTGCGCCTTGGCGCGGGTGGGGGGGTGGGGTTAGGAAACTTAGGGAATAGATCTGAATACTGACCTGCTCAGGGACTCTAAGCACCCCAGGAAGCAAAGGGGAAAAAGAGAAGGAAGCGCGCATTCCGAAACCGAGCTGCCAGGAATGAACAATTAATTCTTCTCTTGCCTCTTCCAAAACGCTTCAGCTCCTTAGTCTCGGACGAAGAAGGTATCTATGCATCCCCAAGCCACTCCCCCCGCAGGCCCAGCTACCACCAAATTATAGACCAGAGCCTTACACTGTACCTCCCGATTCACCCCAGGCCCCGGTAGCAGTCAAGGCCATAACTCTGAGAACTTTTCAGGCCATCGCAGGTCTCAACTCTGCACACAGTTCTCTCTTTCACAGATATCTCTGTTAAGAAGGGGGAAGCTAGGGCAAGGGTTTGGAAGAAAATTCTAGGACCTTTCTGGGACCCCTGAGGGAAGCTGAGGAGGGGGCTCCTGACTAGCTTGAGCCGGGTTCGGAGAGAACCGGGGTATCCAATTCATTGAGCACCTGCTCGCTTCCTCCCACAGTATAATCACTACAGCGGGTCTTGGCAGGGGGAGACTCTAGAGAGTTCTCTCTCCCTCCTTCCTTCGCTTAGCCCCACCCGCCTCGCTGGGTCTGGCCTCCCTGTTTCCATGACAACTCCAAGGGAACCCAAACTGGGGGGCTTGAATGCCGGGGTGAGAGGAGGAGGTCTAGGAGCCTAGAGAGACGGATTGGGGGAAGCCTGAAGCGCTCCCCCTCCTTCGCCTCTGTCCCTTTAAGCTCCCCCCCTCCCCTCTCTCCCTCCGCCCCCCGCCGCTGTCTCCTTCTCTCCATCTCTGCGCTGCTCGCCGGCTGCGCCATCCGCTCACCCAGACCCGGGCGCCGGTCAGGGGCCCCGACTCCGGCTGCAGGGACCCTGTCCCAGAGAGAACGCAGGCATGTCATCCGAAAAGTCAGGTAAAAACAAAAACAAAAACACCTCCCGCTCCCTCCACCGTTTCCTGACTCTCCCCACCCCCCACTTTGACCCCAGCCCCTTCCCCCACCTTCCCACCCCCGACGGCGGTTCTTTTTCACTCCCCTTCTCTCCAGCCCCAGTGCTCCTCCTCCTCTATCCCCTTCCCTTCTCTTTCTTTTCTCCTTCCAATCTCAGCCTCTGCCACTTGCCAACAACACGGGAAGGGCGGCAGGTTGAGGGAGTGAGGGAGGCACAAGAGTGGCTTAGCATCAACCAGGTACTGCAGGGATAGCATCCTTGGGAGTGACAGATGGGCATTCACCAGCTCGCATGGAGGCATCCAGTGGGGCAAAATGAAGACATGATTAGATGGAGATTGGTAGTGAAGTAAAATCCAGAGGACTCTTCTTTATCTGCCTTAAAAGAGATCCTGAGAGTCCCATAGAAGCTAGAGCACCCCCCCACCAAGGAGCCTCAGAGCGGAACATGCCATACCACATGTGTTCACACAACTGTTGAATTGAGCACACGTTAACACTGTGTGGCCTGTCTACACATATGCACACGCAGGACTCGCTCAGAGAGGCCAGCGTCGAGTGCAAGCAGGACAGGAGATTGCGTGTGAGAGCTGTATGCAAGCTGCTGAAGGAGAAGGGAGAGGAGCAGAGAATTGTGACCTCAAAACTAGATTGAAAGGAAGAAAGGGGGGCCAGATGGCCTAGATATAACCCCTCCCCTGCCCCAAGAATGAGAAATTGCGTCTGACGCGTCTCTGTGTCTGTCTCTTCCATTTCTCCATCTCTGACGGTCTGTGTTTCCCCCTGCCCCTCCTTATCTCACCTCTGTCTTCTCCTTCTCCTTGCCCTCTCCCGCGTTCACGCCCCTCAGGCCTCCCAGACTCAGTCCCTCACACCTCCCCTCCCCCGTACAATGCCCCTCAGCCCCCGGCCGAGCCCCCCGCCCCTCCCCCGCAGGCTGCCCCCTCCTCGCACCATCACCACCACCACCACTACCACCAGTCCGGCACTGCCACCCTTCCGCGCTTAGGGGCCGGCGGCCTGGCCTCTTCCGCGGCCAGCACTCAGCGTGGTCCCTCGTCCTCCGCCACGCTGCCGCGGCCCCCGCACCACGCCCCGCCCGGTCCTGCCCCCGGGGCGCCCCCACCCGTCTGTGCTACCTTGCCCCGCATGCCACCCGACCCTTACCTGCAGGAGACTCGCTTCGAAGGTTCACTACCCCCGCCGCCGCCCGCCGCGGCCGCTCCGCCCCCGCCACCGCCCTCCCAGACTGCCCAGGCCCCGGGCTTCGTGGTGCCCACGCACGCGGGGGCGGTGGGCACGCTGCCTCTGGGGGGCTACGTAGCCCCGGGCTATCCCCTACAGCTGCAGCCCTGCACTGCCTACGTGCCGGTCTACCCTGTGGGCACGGTGAGTGCTGGGCAGACAGGGGCCTGGGAGGAGGAGGGCATGATGGTGCGGGACCTGGAATTGCGGACACACTGGGGGCTGGTGGGATACAGACTGGGCCAGGGGGCCGGGAAGTGTCCGAGGTCAAGGCCTAGAGAGAACAGAGCCTGAAAACGGGGAGGGACTAGAGCTAGGCCTGGGAGTGTGGGTGGTGGTGGAGCTTTAGAGTCAGTTGCGGTCAGAGGTCTGGGCCTGGGAGGAAGAAAAGAGCCTGGAGGTTGGGTAGAGATTCCTAAGAAGCATCTGTATTGGGGGCACCTAGCCTAGGGATCTTTGGGGTCAGAGGTCAGGGCCTGGGAAGGGGAACAACCTGGAGGTCTAGAGTTGGTCTGAATAAAAGAACCAGTCTTCAGGAAGAGGAAGAAATGGAACCTGGGCACCAAGGGGCAGAGGCCAGGTAGGTGTGTCTGGAGGGAGGAAACTAGGTTGAAGGGATAGGGCCTTTAGGAAGAAGGGCCTGGGGCAATGCAGAAGGTTGAATCTTGGGAGAAACCGTTGAGGCAGGGATATTGCTGGTGAGGTCATGCCTTGGGGAAGGGTGTGTGGAGACCTGAAAGAACATGTGGGTTAATGTTGCAATGAAAGGAGGAGACCTAGGCAGGACTTATATGTGTCCTGGAAGGGTTGTAGGCGATCAAGTTCTTTGAGAAGCTCTGGGCAAAAACTTCTTTAAAAACCTCTCTGCCAGCCACGACTGCTAGTAGGATGGAGAGGGTCGGAGTAACACCCCCTCCCCTCAATCTTCCTTCCACAGCCCTACGCGGGCGGGGCCCCGGGGGGAGCGGGGGTGACCTCCACGCTTCCCCCGCCGCCCCAGGGTCCCGGACTGGCCCTGCTGGAGCCGAGGCGGCCGCCGCACGACTACATGCCCATTGCGGTGCTGACCACTATCTGCTGCTTCTGGCCTACGGGCATCATCGCCATCTTCAAGGCAGTGCAGGTGTGGGGGGGGGGCGGGGCGGGGCAGGGGACGGTGTATAGGCGGGGGTTCGCTCGGTGTTTCTTATAACCTGGGAGTGCTGGGCGTTCTGGGGGAGCGTCTTAGAAGGAGGCTGAGGCATGGGGGGTT